TCAAGGAGTTCCATCATGCCCGGGAAAGATGCCTCATGATCTGTCCTTCATTGAGATTGCTCACTATAATGTCAAATGACAAGTATAATCAATTACGTATCATCGATAGGGACTCTCACCCGGACGCAACTAGAAATTATGTTAAAACATCTCCTATGGTTTTACAGGAGAATTTAAATAAGCTGATGACCAACTTGAAGAGCACTCACCCCCACTTTGTACGCTGTCTCATTCCCAATGAAACTAAAACCCCAGGTAAGCTATCTCTGCCATCCAAATACACTCCAGTCTGACTTCTCATCCAACTATCCTATATGAAATACGTATCTCTCTTCTTTAGGGGCCATGGAGCACGAGCTTGTGCTGCACCAGCTGAGGTGTAATGGTGTGCTGGAAGGCATCCGGATCTGTCGGAAGGGGTTCCCCAGCAGAATCATTTATGCAGACTTCAAACAGAGGTTGACATCTCATATGTTTACACGTTATTTTTCCCTTTCAATGGCATAGTCCATATCAAAATCACCACTTAGTGCATACATTTGGAAACTTTTCCTAGAGAAATTAAATACAGCTCATTGTACAGGTGATCATAAAATGAAGACTGGATTTTAAAGTTGTCATAACCCCTTTGTTCTTTAAAAATCAATCTATGCTCCTTTTATTTGTAGCTGTCTTTTTTAAGGAATAAGATCACCTTGTACTCTTTTAATTCCAACAGATACAAGGTTCTAAATGCAAGTGCCATCCCGGAGGGTCAGTTCATCGACAGCAAGAAGGCTTCAGAGAAGCTGCTGGGGTCTATTGACATTGACCACACCCAGTACAAATTCGGTCACACCAAGGTACCGCCAACAAAAGTGTTCCTATCTCAATGACATCATCTCTCTTGAGTGTAACTAACCTTTCATGTTCTCATTGCCAAGGTTTTCTTTAAAGCTGGCCTACTGGGAACTCTAGAGGAGATGCGAGATGACAAGCTGGCTCAGCTCATCACACGCACGCAAGCCATGTGCAGAGGGTACCTGATGAGAGTGGAGTTCAAGAAAATGATGGAAAGGAGGTGAGAGACTAGGCATGTGTTCTCCTCATAGTCACTCGGAGGAGTCTAAGGTCAGCTGTACGTTTGTTGTGCGCACAGTGACCCTGAGTTCTTTATCCTTTACGTTATTTTTGTTTTGCTACAGAGAGTCCGTCTTCTGCATCCAGTACAATGTCCGCGCCTTCATGAATGTGAAGCACTGGCCCTGGATGAAGCTGTACTTCAAGATCAAGCCCCTGCTCAAGAGCGCAGAGACGGAGAAGGAGATGGCCAACATGAAGGAAGAATTTGAGAAGGCCAAGGAAGACCTGGCTAAATCAGAGGCCAAAAGGAAAGAGCTCGAAGAAAAGATGGTAGCGCTGATGCAAGAGAAAAATGACTTGCAACTCCAAGTTCAATCTGTGAGTATGACCCACTTCACGTTTCAGTCACATCTTATTATCCAATCACTGGCTGACTGGATCTGAGAATATTTCTTGCTAGATTGAAGTTTATAATGAGGTGGTTTCCACTGAAGCATTTTCCTTTCCTAAACACTAAGCCTCGGCTGTAAAGAAGCCATCGTTGCAAAGTCATATTATGCTGACTGTATAGATTCAGACGGCTTTGTCATTAGTGAGAAAGTCATACCAATATGCCAGACATTTGCTTTTTTTAAAGTTAAGTTATGTTATTATCTCTGTAGTAAATATTTTTGCCTGGAAGATTTAAAAAGTTATGTTCTTATTATCAGGGCAGAAAAGAGGCTATACCAACCCTCCACTAATCTTCTACCTACATGAAAGAAAATGGGTTATTATGATGGGTGTGTATATATAGAGATAGATAGATAGATATAGATATAGATATAGATAGATATTTTCTTTTTTTAAAGTTAAGTTACATTATTGTCTCTAGTAAATATTTTTGCCTGGAAGATCAAAAAAAAGTTATGTTCTTATTATCAGGGCAGAAAAGAGGCTATACCAATCCTCCACTAATCTACCTACATGAAATAAAATGGGTTAATATGATGGGTGTGTGTGTATATATATATATATATATATATATATATATATATATATAACTTTTCCAAGGTGTTAAATGTTAATGAATTTCAGATTTCTACCCAAAAGGTTGGTTTACATGATTTGGCCTTTCACATTGGATACTTTGAGAAAATGTTTTCTTTATTATATTTAATCCGTAGATTGAAGTTACTAACATTTTATCTACCTGATTTTTTTAAAGTTGGAAAACATGTGGCCTACACTGAGTTTCTCTCTTTTAATCAATCTTTGTTGGCACTTACAAATTAGAAACATTAAAACGGTCACTTCCCCCTTTAGGAAGCAGATGGCTTGGCTGACGCAGAGGAGAGATGCGACCAGCTGATCAAAACCAAGATCCAGCTGGAGGCCAAGATCAAAGAGGTGACAGAGAGGGCTGAGGACGAGGAAGAGATCAACGCCGAGCTGACGGCCAAGAAGAGGAAGCTGGAGGATGAATGCTCCGAGCTCAAGAAAGACATAGACGACCTTGAGCTGACACTGGCCAAGGTGGAGAAGGAGAAACATGCCACGGAGAACAAGGTGGGAGCCGTGTGCATGTGACGGTGTGTGTGTGTGTGTGTGTGAAACCATGGGGCACCCATGAAATGAAGCCCACCAAAAGACAACGTGGCATGCAAAGCGTTCTCTCGTCCTCAGGTGAAAAACCTCACCGAGGAGATGGCAGGCCTGGACGAGACCATCGCCAAGCTGACCAAGGAGAAGAAGGCCCTCCAGGAGGCCCACCAGCAGACCCTGGATGACCTGCAGGCCGAGGAGGACAAAGTGAACACTCTGACCAAGGCCAAGAGCAAGCTGGAGCAGCAAGTGGATGATGTAAGTTTGAACAATTAGACATTTTCCCCTAAGACGAAATGAACAACCATGGCATGGGGCCATCACCGATGTTTATGAACCTTTACCTACTGCCTACTGGTCTTATAAATGTGAACTCAAGTTTTCATGTTATCTATTGTGCATTTAACAATTCTTTTGTGTATCACTGAAGATTAATGTCAAAGAGCTCAGTCCTTAAAATGTAAAAGAAATAAAAATCTATTATAAATGTAGCTGGAAGGCTCTCTGGAACAAGAAAAGAAACTTCGCATGGACTTAGAAAGAGCCAAGAGAAAGCTGGAGGGAGACCTGAAATTGGCCCAAGAATCCACAATGGACATAGAAAATGACAAACAGCAACTGGACGAGAAACTCAAAAAGTAAGTGTAATTCCATTACAGAGTGCTTATTGTTGACAAATTCAGATAGACGATGTTTCAGAAAAGCATGTCCTACTTGCTGGTCCACACTAATGGCATCAAGGAGTTCCATCATGCCCGGGAAAGATGCCTGGTAAGGGAATTTCCTGTGGGCTGACCCATTCCTCTTCTCACAGGAAAGAGTTTGAAATGAGCCATCTGCAAAGCAAGATTGAAGATGAACAGGCCCTTGGTATGCAGCTGCAGAAGAAGATCAAGGAGCTGCAGGTAAGACACAACCTCTACCGTTTCCAAGCATCATGACGGGAATCAAACCTGCCATGAATTTACATTAATGTTGACCTATCATTCCACCCCAGGCTCGCATTGAGGAACTGGAGGAGGAAATCGAGGCAGAGCGGGCTTCCAGGGCCAAAGCCGAGAAGCAGCGCTCTGACCTGGCCAGGGAGCTGGAGGAGATCAGCGAGCGGCTGGAAGAAGCCGGAGGGGCAACGTCCGCCCAGATTGAGATGAACAAGAAGCGGGAGGCGGAGTTCCAGAAAATGCGCAGGGACCTGGAGGAGGCCACCCTGCAGCACGAGGCCACCGCGGCCACCCTGAGGAAGAAGCACGCGGACAGCGTGGCCGAGCTCGGGGAGCAGATCGACAACCTGCAGCGGGTCAAGCAGAAGCTGGAGAAGGAGAAGAGCGAGATGAAGATGGAGATCGATGACCTTGCCAGCAACATGGAGACGGTCTCCAAAGCCAAGGTTATTATTAACTTGTCCCCTTTCCCTTTTTATTTGCAGTAATTCAAAATGACCAAGTCTTTATACGTATGTTGCTACTCTAATTGCACAAAATTTTAATGTTTCAAAATGATTCTTAATGAATGTAAACATTTCCGTCTTCATGCCATATTTTGGGAAACCATTCTAAACGTTATCTCTGTTAACATGACATGGTGCATCTACAAAAAAATCAGACTTAGCTAACAAGGCAGAATTTAAATAATGTTCAGCTGTACCAAAGGAAATGATCTAAAATTCTAAATTAATTCAATCTATTATTTAGCCACAAATTAGGTGTCTCTAATACTTTCAAAGCACCAGGCAGAGCTTTGAATTAGATTGAACCATACACAAGACAGGCAGTTACGGATCTCCAAATCCCAGATGTCCAAGTAGAAATGACTGGCTCTCCCCCCACCCCTCTGGGTGTTTTTTTTTCTGTCTCCCACAGGGAAACTTTGAGAAAATGTGCCGCACCCTAGAGGACCAGCTTAGTGAAGTGAAAACCAAGGAAGAAGAGCAACAACGCTTAATCAACGAGCTGTCCACCCAGAAGGCGCGGTTACACACAGAGTCAGGTGAGTCAGCGGTGCGGTCCGACTGGGCAAAGGTGCCGAAGGGAAGGAGAAGCCCACCTGCGCAGGTCTAGCAAACAGAAGTCAGCGGGGCAGGGAGGCTTCACATAAGTCTTCCTGTGAGTGTGATGGTGAAAAGGAACGGTCGGAAGTGAGAATTTAGCCGGGGGAGGGATTAGCTCCTTGAACTCAGGCGATTTTTATTGTCTCGGCATCCTTAAAAAAAAAAAAAAAAATCCCAGATCCTAAAATATCCAAGAGAATTCAGACATTTTTGATGAAGGAAACGATCATCTCAACAATACCATATCACGAGTTATTCTTTTTATTCTCCAAAACAAGGACGTTCCACTATTCTTTCCTCTCTTTTTTTAATTTAGTTTTTCTTTATGCAGATGACAAAACACAATGGTTTGCATTTTGTTTTCCACAGGTGAATTCTCACGCCAGCTAGATGAGAAGGATGCTATAGTTTCTCAACTGTCGCGGAGTAAACAAGCATTCACACAACAAATCGAAGAACTAAAGAGGCAGCTAGAAGAGGAATCTAAGGTGAGAATTCTCCAGCTGAGACTTTCAATTGCTTAAATTAAGCAACATGACCCACCGTTAACCTGCACCTGGACAATATCCGTGACTGGAAGGTAAACTTATAGCACATACGTTTTGATTGGTCTAGGCCAAGAACGCCCTGGCCCACGCCCTGCAGTCCTCGCGCCATGACTGTGACCTGCTGCGGGAACAGTTTGAGGAGGAGCAGGAGTCCAAGGCCGAGCTGCAGCGGGCCCTGTCCAAGGCCAACAGTGAGGTGGCCCAGTGGAGGACCAAATACGAGACGGATGCCATCCAGCGCACAGAGGAGCTGGAGGAGGCCAAGTACGAACTTCTAGTGAGGGGGAAGAAAGGCTAACGTTAGAGAGCAAAGAGAATATACTAAATGTGAGACTAGGTGAATAATTTCAGCTTATTTGATTATAGGGTAGTAGGTCCCAAAGTCTTCTTCTTACAGCCCACTATATTTCAAGTAGAAAATGGGGGGAGATGAGAGCCCTCTCCTTGTTCTGGCCTATTAACACAGCATCTGAAATTTCTTTTTACCAAAATGAATTTGTAAGTATCATCATACCCTTTATGAATGAATGAATGAATGAATGAATGAATGAATTCCCTGTAATGTAACAAAAACAGAGACAGTGAGATTACCTGCTACATTCTCATGATAATTAGGGAGAAAAATTAAGCTCCTTAGACTGAGAAGATTGTCTCAGCATTACTCAAACAACCAAAACAGAAAATCCTACTTCTAAGAAAGCCCAGAAACTTTTGAAAAGGCAAGAAATAATCTTCTCAAAAACTCTAATATTATAACTTAAAATAGCCATTATTTTACTTTTTGGAATATTGGAAGTTCCAAATAGGACTTTCATACCCTGTCATCATTTGATTAATAATCAGTATGAATGGGTTTATTCCAAGTGTAATTGCACATATCGTTTAGGGACTAAAATTCATAGGAACTATAAACGAGAGGAAACTAACTATATATCATCCTCAGTGAAGAAAATTTTCCTAAATGTGATTTATCCCAGTACCTACTAGAGTTAATCTGAGAAGGATCAGCACATCTTTGTAGAACAAACATTCTAGATGAAAACGTGGACTGGTAAAGAATGCAGTGAATAAAACTTTGGAGAATATTTAGGAAGTATATTCATGGCATCGTGTTTATTACCTGGGGCCACCCAACCCAGAAAGTTACTGATTGACCTTGAACACGTCACTCTGGGCCACGATCATCTCATTTGCGAGGTAGAGAGGACCACAGACAATGCTTAAAGGTCATATTCAAGATTAACTTTCTTTGATGATCTGCCTCGTGTTCCCGGTCACCACTTCTTTCCACTCTCACATTAACGCATGCTCGCTCACTCTCTCTCACAAGCACAATGGCCTCACGAGTATCTCTTGGATTACCCCTGTGATTAAGATAAAAAGGAACTAGAGGAAACGGAATGCCAGAAGAGAGAAAATAGGTACAGGACCGCTAAACTTTCACAACTTGTGTGCATAGAAGAAAAACCATCTTGAGGACCATGTGACTCCCTAGCCGGTAGCTTTGGTAAGTCCCTGTAAGAGCTTGGCTTGTGTCCTTGCTCACGCAAATGTCTTCAGGAAGAAGCTGGCCCAGCGTCTCCAGGATGCCGAGGAGCACGTGGAGGCCGTGAACGCCAAATGCGCTTCCCTCGAGAAGACGAAGCAGCGGCTCCAGAACGAGGTGGAGGACCTCATGCTGGACGTGGAGAGAACCAACGCGGCCTGCGCGGCGCTGGACAAGAAGCAAAGGAACTTTGACAAGGTGACCAAGAGGCCTATTTTAGCTCACACGGCTTACCTGGTCTCTCTCTCTCCTTAGGTATGCTGAATTTCTTGCGTTTCAGATCCTGGCAGAATGGAGACAGAAGTACGAGGAGACGCAGGCGGAACTGGAAGCCTCTCAGAAGGAGGCCCGCTCCCTCAGCACCGAGCTGTTCAAGGTGAAGAACGCCTACGAGGAGTCCCTGGACCACCTGGAGACCCTGAAGCGCGAGAACAAGAACCTGCAGCGTGAGTCTTTGTAATCATTTCATTGCAAACCGATGGAGAGAAGGATAAGGAGCCGTCGTGTCAATTAACTGACGACAGTTAGAGATGAAGAAACAAGTTCATTAGAAGGTGACACCAGGGGGGAGGCCAATCCCAAATGCAGACTCTCTTGGTGGAGTCCTGTTTGAAATCAGAAGTCCTGGCAAGGATGTTTTACATGGCATTTACTCTATGGGGAGTCATGCTTTACATGAACTATGGTTCCATGAACTCCGGTCGCAGGTCAGTCAAGAGAAACAATGACTGACCCTGGAGAAGTAAACGGAACAATAAGGTTCTTCTTAGTCGCAGATGTCTTTGTTGATTCGCCAGATAACAGGAATCAGTTTTGATCCCTAACAGTCAGGCAACTAAAAGGAGAGCCTCGGCGTTACCTGGCCCTTCTAAGAGGCATCCACACCCGCCTTGTTTGCCTCTGAGCAATGCAGCAAACTGCAAAATATTCCAAAGGGATTTAGGTGAGGGTCAAGGAAGTAAAGGTATAAATTAAAGTAACTGCCTTTAACAGTGGATTTTGCTCACTACATGAAAGTTAAATAACTTAGGTTACACTATATTTCAAATGTTTCAAAAGCCTCAATTTTGGTATTTGATCATTCAAATTACAGAGGAGATTTCTGATCTGACGGAGCAAATCGCAGAAGGAGGAAAGCATATTCATGAGTTGGAGAAAGTAAAGAAACAGATTGATCAAGAGAAGAGTGAACTGCAGGCAGCCCTCGAGGAAGCAGAGGTACTTACTTCCTATTCTCACCTGTGTATCATAGGTAACCTGCAAACAGGAATAGCAGCTGAGGGCTATGCTGCAAACGTTAACGGAAGACAGATGTAATTCATTAAGAAATACTACATTGATCCTTGGAACTATAAAACTACTAAACTATATAAGGATATACGGAAAGTGGTTATTTTTTAATGCCTCCTTGAGATCATGCTGTGCAAAAAGAAACGTTGCTTAGGTAACATCCATGTTTGTTTTTATTAAGGCATCTCTGGAACATGAGGAAGGCAAAATTCTTCGCATCCAGCTTGAGCTAAATCAGGTAAAGTCTGAGATTGACCGGAAAATTGCTGAGAAAGATGAAGAAATTGACCAGCTGAAGAGGAACCACATCCGCGTGGTGGAGTCCATGCAGAGCACGCTGGATGCCGAGATCAGGAGCAGGAACGACGCCCTCAGGGTCAAGAAGAAGATGGAGGGAGATCTCAACGAGATGGAGATCCAGCTGAACCATGCCAACCGCCAGGCTGCGGAGGCAATCAGGAACTTCAGAAACACACAAGGAATACTGAAGGTACATTGGGCGAACACACGTGGTGCCATACCATCCAAATACCTTAGTCTCATTCAGATTTTACTAGTGTAGGACTATACCCTATGAATCCACTATGAATCAACACAACCAGACCTCGTGTCTTTGGCAACCTTCAGTTGTAAATGGATAGCGTCGCAGGTTGAGCGAATGTACGCCACTGAAAAAGAGCTTAATTCTGGAGGTTCCAGACCGTAACGTTGACTTTGCCATCTGGAGAGAACAAAGCAGTGGGGGTGGGGGGAGAAGATGTGATCAGAAATGTTAGCCACATGACATCACTTCACTGGCTTCACTTATCTGGAGTTCGTTCTATCCAATATGTAAACCAACACGGGTTGCCCTAGATGATCTTTAAAGATGTGTTCCTGATACAAAATTCTATACGAGGGAGCTTCAAATAGCTTGTGGAAAAAATGGGATTGAAAGGTAATCGACTTTTCCCACAAACCTTGTATATTTGGACATGGATTTTTCCTACAATTCAGAATTGAAAGTAAAGCCACATTAAGTTCTTTTGAGTGGAGCAGCTGTGCTGGGTTTCAAAGAATGTGTCGTTCCTTACAGATGGTTCCCATGTAATCATACTCTAAGTTATTAAGGCTTGAGCTTGTACATGACGCTAAGTTTGTGTTCACTTTCATTGAAGTATGAGTAAGAGTCTCGTCTCTTTCTGCATAGGACACTCAGCTACATTTGGATGATGCCCTCAGAGGCCAAGATGACCTTAAAGAGCAACTGGCCATGGTGGAGCGCAGAGCCAATCTGATGCAAGCTGAGATTGAAGAGCTAAGGGCATCCCTGGAACAGACGGAGAGGAGCAGGAAGGTGGCAGAACAAGAGCTGCTGGATGCCAGTGAGCGCGTGCAACTCCTGCACACCCAGGTGAACTTCAGGGGCAGAGTTCAGTAGATCTGCTCCTTGCAGTTGAAGACCATGGGAGAGAAGGATTGTTTAGAAAGTAATCGAGAAATCTTGGTTCTGATCCCTTCCTAGAGTCTGGAAACATGCATACACTACTGGCATGAGTACATACTGTGGCCCATCTAACTCACAAGTACATTTATGGTTAGAACTACAGTAGAGAGAACCAGAAGGGGCCACCTTCTTGTAATCACACACAAACATTACCGGACATCTTGATTTTTTGTGTCTCCAAGCTGCCAATAATCAGACAATAAAATGGAGTAGAAAGCATAGTCCACTTTCATGTGAGCATTGGACTGCTAATCACAAGGTCAATGGTTCAAACCCACCAGTCACTCCTCAGGAGGAAGATGAGAATATCTAGTCCCGTAACAATTTACAAATCCTGGGAAACCCTCTATAGCATCACTACCTTATCATTCATTAAATGCACTTTTCTTCATTGCTGTTATTTTTAAACAGAACACCAGCCTGATCAACACCAAGAAGAAGCTCGAGACGGACATCTCCCAACTGCAAGGAGAGATGGAGGACATTGTCCAGGAAGCCCGCAACGCAGAAGAGAAGGCCAAGAAGGCCATCACCGATGTGAGTGGACGGCAACGCAGCGCTGGCCAAGCTGGAATGTCTCTGCGGCATCTCAGCTCTCTGAACTGGTCCTTTGTGTTCTGGTCAGGCGGCCATGATGGCCGAGGAGCTGAAGAAGGAGCAGGACACGAGTGCCCACCTGGAGCGGATGAAGAAGAACCTGGAGCAGACGGTGAAGGACCTGCAGCACCGGCTGGATGAGGCGGAGCAGCTGGCCCTCAAGGGGGGCAAGAAGCAGATCCAGAAGCTGGAGGCCAGGGTGGGTCTCCACCATTCATTTGATTGCTAGACTCTTAATAATGCGGCAAGTGCAACCTCACTGCTAAACCCCCCTTGCCCTCTTCCAGGTGAGGGAGCTTGAAAATGAGGTTGACAATGAACAGAAGCGCAATGTTGAAACTGTCAAGGGTCTTCGCAAACATGAGAGAAGAGTGAAGGAGCTCACCTACCAGGTGCCCAGACTTTTCACATCCTCTGGGCCTTCTGCTTTTAATAAAATAAAAATCGTGATTTGCTTTCAAATAACAACACTTTGTGCGACCTCTTGCAGACCGAGGAGGACCGCAAGAATGTTCTCAGGTTGCAGGACTTAGTAGACAAACTACAAACCAAAGTTAAAGCTTACAAGAGACAAGCCGAAGAGGCGGTGAGTACCTGCACAGTGAAAAGCTTGCAGAATTTGGAACCTGAAGGCTATAGAATTCGAAGGGGCTTTCTCTCACGGGTGGGGATGGGGAAGAGTTCCCGGGTATTTCTAAGCTTTGGTTTGAGTCGGAGCTGACTGGTGGCAGTGAGTTTGCCTTTGCGTTTGCCGGAAGGCAAAGAACACCACATTCTGAAGTACAAGATTAGGGATGACATGAATAGTTTTTTAGGACGAGAAAAAGGCGATTGCAAACTCCTGGAGCACCAGCGCCCGGCTCACCTCTGAGACCTTTTGAGGCAACTTTCCAGATGCATCAAGGTCAAAGTGCTCCTCAGTTCCCACCCCCTTTCCTTTCCTATCTAGAATGTAACACCCAGTGACTCCCAGCCTGCATAAACGAGGGCCAATGAGGGCTCAACAGTCTATACCTCTTTGACACACTACGGTCCCCATCACAGGCAAGCTTTCTTTATTCACATTTGACAGGAGTTAGCACTCATCAACTGTCAATTCTAAAACTTTCCATGAGGTCCTCTGTACCCCCTACCACCACAATATTTACTTCTCAAAGCTTCTAGAGCACTAAGATCGGCTCCGCTCTCTGGGATGTTGATGCACTGCTGCCACGGTAGCATTTCAAGCTTGCCCACTCCCTCCCACAGGCAGGAAGCCCTGCTTCTAAGAAAGGATGGCACCCAAAGAAAGACAGAGCCTTGGCTTGCTCATCCCGAAAGCAAATACCACACTAACTCAGTAGCAACGGCAGCACGAGTCAGAACTTCCCCAAATGGCTTGCTGTCTCAACTGTGTTTCTGTTCCCAGGAGGAGCAATCCAACGTCAACCTGGCCAAGTTCCGCAAGATCCAGCACGAGCTGGAGGAGGCCGAGGAGCGGGCCGACATTGCCGAGTCCCAGGTCAACAAGCTGCGGGTCAAGAGCCGGGAGGTGCACACCAAGGTCATCAGTGAAGAGTGATGGACCCCACTGCCTCCAGGTGGCCAGAGAAATGCGCAGAATGTGAAACTCTTGGTCACTGTCTTGTAATCTCAAGGAAATAAAATCTGCGAATAATTTTGCAATAAAAACGACTCTGTCTCCTAATTACAAACTATCCAGAGCTGTGGGAGAAAGATGCAGCCGTCTACTTCTGTCACACTGCTTCCACGTCCACAGCTTGGGAAACCCCAGGAGGCAGTTCTACCTCGTCCTTGGGGGCCACTATGAGTCTAAAATGACCCTTTGGTAATAGGTTCGGCCAGGACTTTATTAAAACCAGTTCAGGTATTCAATACTTGTTGAGCTCCTGTGTGCAATCAGAAATGATGGCCAGGAGAAATGTGGGCAGTAAAGCAAGTTGAAGAGAAGGGGAATGACAATAAAGGCTCTCTAAGGGGATGCCGAGCTGATGGATGTACCCTCCGTTTCATCCAACCATTTTTCATGAGCACCAAGAATGTGTCTGCTACAGCAGTAGGCACGAAGGATAAGACCACCATCCCTGCCTTCAAGACGCGTGATCCAAAGGAGGAAACTGCAATTCAAACAGCTTAAGGTACCACATAGGTACACGGATCAAAGTAGGAGAGAGGGCTTCTCAAAAGAGACTGAGCTAGTTCTTTAAAGACAACACGACAATTGTCAGCTGACCACAGAAGAGTAGCTGGGCATGCCAAGAACACACACATGAGATTTCAGAGTAGTTGAGGCATAGGCTTTGTGAGCAGAGAGCAGCAGATGAGACCAGCGGGAAAGTAAGGCCTGATTGTGAAAGGCACTGCCCAGAGGCAGTGCTGGGAGTTAGACTGCAGCAGACAAGCTACATCTGGTCCAAGGAGAGTTGGCACAATGCTGGCAGCCACGGTGTGGAGGGTGGGGCAGGCTGGATAAGACCAGGTTAGAAGGCCACTGAAATGGTACCACTTAGAGGCGATGATGAGGAAAAAGAAAGCAAGCATCAGAGGTCTATCACCGGTGTATGGAAAGCATGGGAAATGCGGGGAAATCCCAGAGCTTCACCGCAGTCAAACCTCTCAGTTACTTTATGGATCTTATTTCCTTTTGGAGCAAATCCTGGCCTTCTGAATCTTTTCTCTCTTCAAGAAAAAAAAACTGAAATTCTTAGATGAATCTTCCCGTTGACCTTCCAATTTTAACATATAATCCTGTTTACGCAGGAGCCTTATTTTCAACAGTACCTAGTATGTTTTAAGGAAAAAACTGGAATGGGAATAAGACTGACATTTTAACATAATTTCTTTCTGATATCTTCCTACAATTTACAATTTAGCTTCATTGCTAAACAATCCAAACCAAAAAAATTAAAATAATAGTAGAATACCAATTTATCCTTTGACAGTGGTAGAATTTCTAAGAGGAGTTTGCTTCTGGAAATCTCCATTCCCAGGGTGAGAATTCTAATTAAGAATGAGACACTTACTTATGAGAACAGAATTTTTAAGGAGTAGAAAATAATTATGAGAAAGATATCCCTTATGTCATAATGAAGACTAATAAAACATCCCTGCCTAGAGTAGGCATTTATTATCCAATTTTAATTAAACTTTGTAGGGTTAACCTATTGACCTCAAAAGCATTGGGCAATTGCTTTCTTAGTCTACCTCTTAACTATTTAAATCATTGGTTATGTATATAGTTGAGAGTACATTCTATTATATATGAGTCAATTGCACTTGAGTCTCTGACTAAAGTTAGCAAGAATTTAGATCAAAACTAATTAATATTTCTTCCTCACTGGGATTCAGGGATTCATGATACTCTTATCTTTTGTTACAAAGTCCCTGTCATAATTAGGACTGCTTATAACTCTTCTCCATTTCCTCAACTGATATGAGGGATTATTGAGATCTGGGATTGCTTCTAACCTGTTGGTGCTAGATATGAAAGCCCAAGCAGGACGTGTGCAAGAAGGCTAACCTCCAGAGCAAACGACTTTGAATTAGGAGCAGTGGTGCAGTTTAAGTAGGGTGACTGGAAGATTGTGATGGGTGATAGGGGTCAAGGGTCTTTTTCTCCAATATATAACTCACGAGGAACTATGCAGAGATAATTGTGAGCATCCAGTCAGGAATCGTGACATTAATAAAACCTCCTAACGAGCTGTCATAGGTCTATGGTTTTTTTTCTCAGTGCCCCAAGAACTAAAGGACCATGGCTATTGAACAGAGGATGCTGAGACCAACAGCATCCTGATACGTGGAAATATCCTGATGATTTTTGTTCTCAAGTCTCTTCATAGTATTCAATGACCAAACAGATAGCAAGAACAGAAGGACCTGCAATGTTCCTTCTCTAAAATACCGTTTCTCCTTCTGACTATATTCCACGACTATAAATCTTTACAGGAGTGGAATTCACTCAATGGCAACTGGTTTCCTTTTTTCCTCCCTCGCTATCTTATACATAAGTCTTCTATGAGAGATCGAATCCTTGGGAACGGAGAGGATGTTCACCTTATTTTTAACTAACATTCTAGACAGCGTTATTGGCTAACCAACTAATAAAGCATTCAAGGAAGAGATCCCTTGAAATATTCCTCAAAGGAAGGCAATCTTGAGGCCGGGAAAGGAGAGAACGTTGTTTGTTTTTTTATGGTCCAATGGCCCCAGACTCGCAATTTTTCTCAGGGAAGACTCTAGTAAGACTTCTAGCATCATTCTTCACAAGTAAAAGGCTTATGTAAACTTCCACATCAGTGGTTCTCAAACTTTAGCATGAACCAGAATCATCTGGAAGGCTTGTTAAAACCGGTTTGGGGCTCCGTCTCCAGATGTTCTCATCCAGGAGGTCTAGATTAAACGAAAACTCACTGCCATGGAGTCCATGCCAACCATGAGAGACCCTGCAGGACAGAGTAGAACTGTCCCTTAAGGTTTCCAAGGCTGTAAATCTTTATCATTGCTGACAGCTTCATCATTCTCTCACAGAATCACTGGTGCATTTGAATGGCTGCAGGTCATAGCTCAATGCTTTACCCACTGCACCACCCAGGTCCAAGTTTGGGTTGGGGGCCACCAATGTACATGTCTATTAAATCCCCACGTGATGGTGGTGCTGGGGCTGCTAGTCCATGCACTACACACTGAGAAACCCAACTCTACATTACCACTAAGTCTTTCACAACAGTCAACCAAACCCAGCCCACTGCCACCAAGTCACCCCTGTCTCATAGTAACCCTATAGGACAGAGTACAACGGCCCCTTTGGGTTTCTGTGACTGTAAATATCTCCCAAAGCAGGTAGCTTTATTGTTCTCCTGGGGAGAAAGTAGTGGATAAAAACTGCTGCCCTTGCTTTTAGCAGCCCAATGAGTAACCCACAAACAAAGGGCATTCTATATCAATAATTACACCTATAAATCCAACCCAAATTTCCTTGGGCCTTGATTACTTCATGCAAAAAATGAAGAGGTTGAACTAAGTATCTCTAAAATCCTATCCAAATGTCTAATTCCGAGTTGGACAGCATCGTCAGCAATGAGTACCTTATGTGCAGGATCTTCGTTTTATTTGCAAAGTATTTTCACAGGCAGCTTGTCAGACACCTGATACACAGATTCCTTTTGGAAACTGAGGTACCAAATACATAAAGGGTTTGTCAAAAATTGTGTGACTAATAACTTTTCTGGAAACAACACAGTGGAAGTAACTTACTATCCAAGGTTCCCAGGCAAACCTGACCATGAAAGGTTGTGATGTCATTCTGCCCTGACAACAGAGTCCACAATCTGTCATTTCATGGGAGTTGGGAGGTGGGCAGGGGGAGTTCTGCTCTTCACTCACATATCCACCTGGCTTGCTTCTTCACATCCACAGGATTCTGGTTAAATTACACCGTGTAAAATAGGCTTTTCCTGGCTACCAACTATCAAAATCAAGGGCAATGTAGCAGCGAGGAATTACTAAACCTGAATGAAGGCCAAACATGATGGTGGGACAAGAGGAAAGTAAAAGGAAATAGAGGAAAGAACCAGGAGGCAAAGGACATTTATAGAGGTCTAATATAAGCATGTATAAAAAAACGAGAGGGGAATAGAACTATGTACTCATATCTGTAGGTTAAGAATTAAGGTAGCAGATGGACATTGGGCCTCAACTCAAGTACTCCCTCAACACAAGAATACTTTGGTCTAACAATCCAATATTCTGTGATGCTCACCTACCTGGCAAGATCGCTGAAGACAAAATGGGTGCATAAGTAAATGTGATGAAGAAAGCTGATGGTGCCCGGCTATCAAATGATATAGCGTCTGGGGTCTTAAAGGCTTGAAGATAAACAAGCAGTCACATAGCTGAGAAGCATCAAAGCCCACATGGAAGAATCACACCAGCCTGTGTGATCATGAGGTGTCAATGGGATCAGGTACCAGGCATCTAAGACTCAGAACAAAATCATACCCAATGTGAATGGGGCGGGGGGCATGGAGTGGAGACCCAATGCCCATCTGTAGTCAATGGACATCCCCCTACAGAGGAGTCACAAGGAAGAAATGAGCCAATCAGGGTGCAGTATAGCACCAATGAAACATACAACTTTCCTCTAGTTCTTTAATGCTCCCCCCTTCCACTGTCATGACCCCAATTCTACCTTACAAATCCAGCTAGACCAGAGCATGTACACTGGTACAGACAAGAGCCCGCAACACAGGGAACCCAGGACAGACAAACCCTCCAAGGCCAACAAAGGAGAGATATCAGAAGGATTAGGGGAGGGTGCGGGGAGAAAGGGGGAATCATCACAAGATCAACCTATAACCCCCTCTCAGGGGGACCAACAACAGAAAAGTGGGTGAGGGGCGGCGGAGGATGATGTAAGATATGAAAATAGTAATCTATAACTTATCAAGGGTTCATGAAGAAGGGAGGGTGGGGGAGGGAGGGGAAAGAAATGGGGAGTTGTTATCAGAGTTTGAGTCTGACTTATCTGTCCTTTTCCATTCACAGTATAGGAAGGTCTAA